CCACAAGCTATCAGTGTTTCAGACGGGGTGGGCAGTAGCCACACAGAAACATATCAGCCTGTCTAGGGTATGTGGGGGAGAGTCCACAAGGACATTAAGAATAAGACCACCGTTATCCCTGGTGACGCTACCCATGGATGTTCGGCGGTTGGGGTGTCCATCTCCTTGCCCCCCTATTACCAGATGGAAGAAAGGTATGAAGAAAAAGATTCATTCATAGAAATATGATTTAATTTTTTTTTTTACTCGGTTTATTAAACAGGTTGTTGATTTTTTTAAACGGAAAATAATTGAGTTGAAAATAATTCACTAAAGTTGTACTTAGACGATCCTAAGGAAAGAAGAAGGAAGGGGAAAGAAAAGAGGAAGAAAGGAAAAAAGGAAAAGAGAGATGGATGATGCATGACCCGGTCATAAGCGAAGATAGGTGTCAGAAAGATATCTTGGCCTGCGTGTTGGCCGAATTTTAAAAGACAATAGAGAATTGTTATTTGAAATGAAAAAATCATTTAGAGGAGAAAAAAAACCAGGCTTGATGACAGTGTATTGGCGATTGATAAGAATATCGGTCAAAGCACCTAGCCTACTTTTTGCGTGGAAAGACTCATTGTCAAATTGGAGAAAGGGGAATTTCTTTTTAGAACAATAGAAACGAAATTTTTTAATCGGAGAAAAAGTGTCTTTTGGGTTGAGGGAGTGACCGGTGGAACTGTATACAGATTCTGACCTATTAAGAATTGGAAACCCACGATAATAAAGTGGGGACATTTTCAATGTAGATAATTAAGATTTTCTGACTGTCGGGTCTGACAAAAACAAGAGGTGAAAAAACGATTGTCTCAGCTCACAGATGGCGCCAATATTCTTTCCTGAAGTCACATCTAATTAGCGGCAGGCTGTTTTGACAGAGCCCAGGTGAGAAAAGCCAAGATTGTCATTTTTCGTACGTGCAAAAAGGAAAAATTGGATTTTGTTTTTTAAATCAAGAACGATGTAAACCACGCCCGAAAAGAGGAGAAAGGATGCTCGATCAATAACAATTGGTCGGAAACGGTCACGTGGCATACGGGAGAGAGGAGGAGAAATGCTCGATCAGGAATCATTGGTCGAGAGCGGTCACCTGACATACGAGGGACCGGGAAAGATGGGTGTGCGCCTCCCCACCAAAGGCACTGTGAGGAAGTAGGGGTGAAAACAATAGCGATAATGGGAAGACAGAAATAATGCGGCTATTGGAATTATCGAGAAATCCCTGACGCCGACAAACCCACCCCGGTTTGTTGCGGCGTCAATAAAAGCAGGACCCCAGTCGACAGAAATGAGTTGCAGCTGGACCGCGGGCAGGGATAGAGCCTGAACGCGGGCATCAGGCCCGATTCACTCGCCCCTTTGCGGGCAAGAGAATCCTCAGACAAGAAATCCTTCCACCCAAGTCGAAGACAAGAGAACTTCCAGCCCAAGCAGACGAAGAAGAAGATTACTCGAAAGCCGCAGAGAAGATCCAGCCCAAGTCGGAGACAAGAGAAGTTCTATCTAAGTCGACGAAGAAGAAGAAATACAACTCAAGTCGAAGAGAAGAATCAACTGCGAATGATCGATAGAAATTAGCCCCAGTGTCGAACTAAACCACACTCCGACATACACAATTCTAAAGAGTAGGCAATTCGAAATCTTTAGGTTGTGTGATAGAAGCTTGGTGCCATAGTCCACAGAGCGGGTCGGGAAATGAGAACAATTTTGTTTTTATGTAACGGACATTAGATATAAAAGGATGTTACCCTTTTTTTATCAGCAATCTTTTTGTCTCGTGAGTTTTTTTTTTTTTTTTACTTGTGTTTTGCCACCCCGTCGGACTCAACTTGTATCGGCCCCAATCCCTGCTGGTCCCGTCTGTCTAAGATCTAAACACAGCGTGGGTAGACAGACCGGAGATCAGTACAGTTGCTTCGGAACCAGGTATTGGAAGCGAGTTGGGAAAGGCGAGGCTGGTGATCATCTAACCAAGGGGTTGGAGCGGCACGCTTGGAACCAGGAGGAGCGACCAGGAGGAACGACGTCACAGTTGGCGCCGTAACCAAGGGATTCGACCCTGGGCCAGGTGTGTAACCGTCACAGCTGTATACGTAACATTTCAATTCCAGATCAAACTTTCTGTTTCGGAATGGTTTATCTTGAGTTTGATTTCTGGAAATATTTATGGCTTACGGTCATATCACGTCAAAACACCGGTTGCAGTACGATTACCGACTTTAAGCAACATCGAGCCTGATTACTTGCCTAGATGGGTGACCAATTGGGGATACCAGGTAGAGCAAACTTGGATGTGCTGATGGTGTAAAGATAACATCTTGGAAATGGAAATCGGATACAAGAGTTCCAATTCCAGTTGGGTTTGTTATATTCACTTACGCGCAAATACTATTGGGAAAGTTATAAATCCACTTACTCTTCCCCAGCCATGGGTTAATTAGTAAAACTTGTATCAGTAAATCATTATTATCTAAAAAAAAACGCTTACAATCTAAAAGTATTTTCTGGCTTTAAATAACCTGCAAAATGCTGATAATATGTAAAAATCAATTATTTGGAATATTTTGATAAGGGATGTTGATTTTCTGTTTTAGATCGTTCTTATACCAATTATGAATTCATCCATTGATGAAAATGAAGAAAATTGTGAGTCAGACATAAACAGGTGCGTAGGTATAGTGAAAGATGATTTTTTAAAAGTTGTGAATATATATATATATATATATATATATATATATATATAGTCGAACCTTGGTTCACAAACTTTTCACAAACTTAGTTCGTTCCTTAAGGCTGTTCGTAAACCGAAACTATTTTTCCAATAGGAATCAATGTAGAGAAAAAAAAGTCACAGTAAAATAAAATTGGAAAAGAAAAGCACGGCACAACACACGAATGTATACAACACGGCGGTCGACTTAGAAATTATTCCGTTCGGGTTAACTCGGATCGGCGATGTTGTTCGTGAACTGAAAATTTTTGTTGATTACAGAGGCATTTTATCTGAAATTTTCTGTTCG